ACTACTACTACTACTACCACTACTACTACTACTACTACTACTACTACTACTACTACTACTACTACTACTACTACTACTACTACTACTACTACTACTACTACTACTATACTACTACTACTACTACTACTACTACTACTACTACTACTACTACTACTACTACTACTACTACTACTACTACTACTACTACTACTACTACTACTACTACTACTACTACTACTACTACTACTACTACTACTACTACTACTACTACTACTACTACGACTCCTCCTCTTCCTTTCCCCCATCCATCTCCTCCTCCTCCTCCTCCTCCTCCTCCTCCTGTTCCTCCTCCTCATCCTCGTCCTCCTCCCCCGCAATGTTTGTTTTCTACGGGTCTTGCTACTTGTGAAAAGTACCCCTGGTATTTCCCAGGCGCCAGCAAAGATATGATCTCGAAGGGCACGTCTTGGCACGCGCAGTGAATGTGGGCGCACCGACCCGAAGACGCCGCTGAAAAAAACATTACGGCGACTCCGCCAAGCCGTGGATGATGTTCTTCAATGTCGAGGTCAGCCCAGAAAACGCACAGCGATACAACAGCACATCGCCGCCGAGTTCCGCGCCCCCCAGTGAGAAGGCTTTCAAATGCCACCAGGCACCATCAACAGCGAAACCGCGGCCAGGCATCAACCCCTGTTCCTGCTCATGAGCGCCATGTCAAACTTGAGCGACACCAAACCCGAAAACGCCCGCTTCGCCGACAGCTTCAATCCGCTTTGCCAGGCGGAGAGCGAAACTGAGGGCGGAAACCAAAGTTCCCAATGCCTGGACAGCTCGCAGCTGCCCTGGGGAGGCTGTCCTTCGCAAGCTTCGCCGCTAAAGCCTGCCAGATGGGGCCAGGGATCGGCTCCCCTTTGCGCGCGCAGCCTGGGGAACTCAATCAGACGATCGCCATCCACGAAGCGCTTGGTCCTTAGGGGCTCGAAGACGCAAGCAGTCCCCTTGAAGACCTTGAGGGCGTCGTGAATCTCCAAGGCGGGCGGCGTCGAGAGCGCGCAGTTGCCGCCGTCGTCTTTCGCGTCGAGATCCGTCGCGAGGCCGAGCTGCGCAGTCCGTGCCAACTAAGATAAGTCGCCCAAGAGGACGGCGAAGGGGCATTGGCCAAGAATGCAACATTGCTTCTTGTAGTTGCCCCCCCGAAACCGCGCGGGTCTAGGTGTGAACGCGCGCGCGTCGCGAAAGTCCGGCGCATTCTGGTTGGCGGCCAGCGCCGCGCTCTCCTCTTCGATGACGCGCATCCTCGCGCCCCCACCCCGCTCTTCGAGAG